CACAATTCCTTTTGAAAGTCACACAGAACAAGAATGACCAAACACTGTGATCTTAGATAATCTATTTGTCTGTAAAAATGGCTAATCATATTACCTCAGAGATAATATTTTAGAGATTTTTGTGAACAATAATAACTCTTTCCATGTGAACAGGGCTACATTGACAACATCACGTGTTATGATAAGCGAACCTTAAAATAACTCCTTTAAGTTGACAGAGGAATTATACCAAATTCTATTTTATAAATGGGTATTTCCAATACACTCATCTCTAAGTTTCTTTCCAGTTTTGATGTACTGTGATATTGTTTAATGGAAACAAAAATAAACTGAGGCACAGATTGATGAATTAATTTCATAAGGGCCCCCAAATTATTCTCTCTGAGCCCTCTATTAAATAATTTTGCTTCCAGAATAAAGATAAAAATATATTTTAAGAGTAAGGGTCAGGTCATTTTTTTCCCTCTCCAATGTTGAATTGGCACAGTGACCATGTAAAGATGCAAATACATTAGCCAAATTAAAAAGAAAAAATATATGCTTAAAAAGCCAATCCTCAAAAGCAAAATGGCTTCTGTATTAAGCTTTTGCTACCACAGTAATTTATCATTTTCATTTCAACCATTTTATTTCATTTCTTATTTAAAACAGAAATCAAATATTTATCTGTGCTATACTTACAAGTATATACATGCAAGTGTATATATATGTGTGTGTGTGTGTGTACACACACACACACACATATATACAAAAGCAATCTGCATTATCTTATATGGCATCTATATGTACATATATACATATATGTGGTATATGTATATACTATATGTATGTATGTATGTGTACATATATATATATATATATATAGTTTTGTTTTTCAAAAGCATTCTTTTACTTAATTTATTCAAAGATTAATCCTGAATAGAATTCATGATGGCAAAATATTGGAAATTCATTCATAAAAGTGAATATAATTATAATTTTATTCATAAATTATATTACTTAAAAGTAAAAATATTATAAATCCTTTAAAAGCAAATGTCATATAACATCGCTCCATGCAATTATTTTTAATCTATTTTATTCTCAGGTAATCTAAATACAGGGTTAATGTCCTAAAATGAAGTCAAAGTGATTGGACTTTATAATTATATCAATGCAGGAGATGTTTTTTTTTTTTTTTTTACATGATAAGCTTACTTGATAACAAACCCTTCACAAACCTATCTATATCTCTAGGGGATTTGGTATTAAAATTTAATTTAAATCTTGGTTAAGAAATTCTGTGAACTCTTTAGAGAAAAAGTTTAAAGTAAATACAAAGAAATTATCATCAGTCAGTCAAAGCAATGCTTTTGTATTTCCCCTAGAGAACACAATGAAAAATTTATGGAATTATTTTATTATGCAGGAAAATGTTATATATATTATATCTACAATGGGTTGTTTTTTTCTATGTACCATTTCTGAAGTCATTATGCATATTTGCCTCTTTGAAATAGTTTCTTAAAATATTAAGCCAAGAACTATCTCATATTTAAGTCAGTCTGATAATATATTTTAGCTCCAAAATAAATATTTGTATATAACTAAATATATCTATATTTAATGATTCAATATCTAAAATCTGCATTTCTTACTCTATTGAGTATAAATATATATGTAAATATTATAAATATTATTAATTTTCAACATTACTCTCAAGAAATAAGTTTATTATTATTTGAAATATTAAAATAGTTGTGGTAATATTTCCATATCTAAAGTAGAAAACTGTTCATCTTCATTACATGATTGCAGTGCTTGTTTCCATGGCAACTCCTTCACTTCACTGTGTTAGTAATGATAGACTCACAGCACTAGAAAGGCTTGCAAAGTATGTAATAGAAGGCTCTCATTGCTCAATTAGGAGTTTGAGGCACAGACCTACAGATTCATGACTTATCTACTGTTAGTCCAGCAGTTAGTGTCAAAGCAGGAAGTATAATGTAGTATTTTTAGCCCCCAATCCAGTATTATCCTATATAATAAAGAGGCAATATGCAAATTGACTGTTACACTCTCACACAAGATGGCCACCACAGATGGCTGGCAGGGGAGGGAAGTTGTGGGTGATCAAGGCCAGCAGAAGAGGGCAGTTAAAGGTGACCAGGTCAGCAGGAAAGGGCAATTAGGGGCAACCGGGCTGACAGGGGAGGGCAGTTTGGGGCAATCAGGCCATCAGGGGAACAGTTAGTCATCAATCAGGCTGGCAGCGGAGTGGTTAGTGGGTGATCAGGCGGTCAGGCAGAAGCAGTTAGGGACAATCAGGCAGGCAGGCCTGAAATGTGGTAACCAGAGTCCATGCATGTCATCGCTGCATAATCTTGCTTTTTCAGTGTTAGAGTAGCCTTGCCAGGTTTAAATTTTTAAATCTAAGAGTCTGTTCCTAATATATAGAGTAGGGTGCATAGGCCTGGTCAGCAATAAGGGCCAATTCCTGGTAGCAACCAGTGGGCTGGGTGATCAGGGGCCCCTGCTGGCATTTGTCTTGGCTGATAGCCTGGCACTGCCTTCAGGATAGCTCTGCTCTCCCGATCACCACCACTGGTCAGCTCCCTCAGCTCCTTCACTGAGTATCTGCCCCCTGCTGGTCAGTGTGCATCATAGTGGCTTGTAGTTCTGCCATTTGGTTAATTTGCATATTAGAGTTTTATTATATAGAATATATAATAAAAGGGTAATATACAAATTGACCCTAATGTTGGAACAACCAGGAATGACCAGTTGCTATGACATGCACTGACCACCAGGGGGCAGATGCTCAATGCAGGTGGTCAGTGTGCTCCCTGGTGGTCAGTGCGCTCCTACAGGGGGAGCTGTGATCAGCCACAGCAAGACTGATGGCTATGAGCACAGCAGCAGTGGTGGGAGCCTCTCCTGCCTCCTTTGCAGTTTTAAGCTGACAGTTAGACATCCCCTGAGGGCTCTCAGGCTGCCAGAGGGATGTCTGACTACCAACTAGGCCCAATCCTCCAGGGAGCTGGCCTAAGCTAGCAGTTGGACATCCCCTGAGGGGTTCTGGACTGCCAGAGGGTGCAGGCTGGACTGAAGAAACCCCATCCAGTGCATGAATTTTAGTGCATTGGGCCTCTAGTGTGTGTGTGTGTGTGTGAGTGTGTGTGTGTGTGTGTGTGTGTGTGTGTAGTGTAATATGCTAATTAGTCCAGACAGCCAAACAACCTTCTGGACATCATTCTGGACATCATTCTGGATGAAGCTGCTACTGCGGGGGCTGAGGCAGAGGCAGTTAGGAGAGATCAGGCAGGCAGGCAAGTGGTTAGGGGTGATCAGGCAGGCAGAGGTGGTTAGGGGTGATCAGGCAGGCAGGCAGGCAGGCAAGTGGTTAGGAGCCAGTGGTCCTAGGTTGTGAGAGGGATGTCCAACTGTTGGTTTAGGACCAATCCTGTAGGGTCTCAGACTGCAAATGGACCCCCCCCCCCATGCATGGATTTCATGCACTGGGCCTCTAGTATATATTAGAGGCCTTGTGTACTAATTTGTGCACTAATGTGGTCCCTCAGCCTGACCTGTAGGATTGGCTCAAACCAGCTCTCTCACATCCTCCAAGGGGACCCAGATTGCGAGAGGGCACAGGCCAGGCTGAGGGACCCCACTGGTGCATGATCATGGCTGGGGAGGGATGCAGGAGGTTGGCCAGCTGGGGTGGGGGCATGGGGGGCTCCAGGGCATGTTCAGCCTGTCTTGCTCAGTCCTTATCAGCCAGACTTCAGCAGCAAGCTAACCTACTGGTCAAAGTGTCTGCCTCCTGTTGGTCAGAGCATGTCATAGCAACTGATCAACCAGTCAACTTTCTGCCCCTTGGTGGTCAATGCATGTCACAGTGAGCAGATGAGCAGCCTTAGCATATAATTAGCATATAACACTTTGATTGGTTGAACAGCCAATCTGTTGACCAGACACTTATTATATTAGGCTTTTATAATATAAGATATATATATATATATATATATATATATATATATATATATATATAATATTTGTTTCTAGAGTCTCAATCTGTGCCCTCAACACAGTAGGAACTAGTCCTTGTTTTGAACCCTTGAAATGTGGCTAGTCTGAATTGATTGACTGTAAAAGTTAAGTGCGCAACAGGACTCAAAGATAGTGTCCCAAAAAGGAAATGTAAAACATTTCAATTTTATATATATTAATTATATGTTAAAATGACATTAATAATTAAGTAAAACACGTTGTTGAAAATAAATAATACATTGTTATAGAATATTATACATACTACATAATAATAATATAATTAAACATATATGTAATAATAAAAACATAATATGCTAATTAGAGAAGATGTCCTTCTGGATGAAGCTGGGGCTGCAGCCGTGGCATGGAGGCAGCTGCCATGGCTGTGAGGGACAAATCCAGGCAGCCACTGCAGCTGTTACGGCCTACTCTTGCACAAATTTCATGCATTGGGCCTCTAGTAATAATATAATATTGAATATGATCTGTTTCTTTTTACTTTTTAAATGTGGCTACTAACAAATTTCAAATTACATATGTGGCCTGCATTATGATTTTCACCATATTTTTACTGCTCCTCACTGGTCTAGTCCAGTCTCATTTCCTCAAGTCCAGAGCCTACCCCGCACTATCTAATGTGATCCTTTCTTTAAACCCTCTTCTGATCTCTCCCATCAGTACGTGAGATCTCTCCTTTTCTAAATTCCAACAGCTTGATTCTGAACCCCTCCAATTCTATTCTAATATCACCACTAAATGCAAATTATTGGCAAATATGGTCTGTGTCTGGGTTTGTATATGTGAATAGCTTGCAAAATAACCCTCATGGAGCATTAGTAATGCTTTGATTAGAAAAATAAACTTATATGAAGTCAATTTATCCACAGTTCACATTTGCTCAAATAAAGTTGCCTTGAAGGGTTGAAATTTTCTAAACTATGTCTATGATTTAGTAAGAGGATACGTACCAGCTGATTCTCAGACACTGTAGATGATGGTGAAGAGAGGTTTGCCTGCAAAATAGAAACATGGTGTTTATTTAGCAAAATTTATAACTTACTAAAATAATGTCTATTTTACTAAGTATTTTGAAGTTCTTTTATTATTAAAGTAATAGATATATCCATTGTAAGACTTTTGAAAAAATATATAATTAAAAGAAAAATATTATTTTACCACCGAAAAATGTATTTTTGGTACATTGCCTTACAATATTTTTCCTGTGTGTTTTTATTCAGCTCATATAATAATGAATATGATGTTTTACATGTTGATTTCCCTGAACATCTTAACATAAGCACTATCACAAGACATAATTCTTCAAAGTGCTAGTTGGAGTGGCTCAGTTGGTTGGGCATCATTCTGTGCACCAAAAGGTTGCCAGTTTGATTCCTGGGCAGGGCATATACCTGAGTTGTGGGTTTGATCCCCAGTTGAGAAGTACATGGAAGACAAAATGTTTCTCTGTAGCACTGATTTTTTTCATTTCTTTCTCTCTCTCCCTCCCTCTCTAAGCATGTCCTTGAGTGAGGTTTAAAAAAATTCTTCAAGGTCACATAATATTTCATTCTCTGCATACTCCACACTTTACTTAAATATAGCAGCACTGTTGTATATTTATATATATATATATTTATGCAAATTGAAACAAAACCAGATTTTTCCCTAAGTATCTTTATATAAAACTAACCTGAGTTTTCATGATTTGTGAAATAAAGGCATTTGGTTTTTAATTGTTTTCAATTAAAGAGGGGGTCAGAAGCAAATTTGCATTATCCTTTGTTTCTGCATTTCACTCTAATGTGGATTTAGTTTCTTTCTTACTGAAGTAAATGCTTTGGTAGTTTTTTCAAGCCTTACTGTCTTGGACTTTGAAAATATTTTTATTTTGTTCTCATTCTTAAAGGAGAGTTCCATAGAACATTGAATTCTGGGGTAACAGTCATTGTCCTGCAGAATCTTCATGGTACTATCCCACTGGCTCTGGCTTCTGTTACTGCTGTCAATCTAAATGTCATGACTTGGCAGATCAGCTGTCTTCACATTTGTTTAGCATTTCAGATTTTTCTTTCTGACATTCTGTAATTTCACTATGATGTGTCTGAGGATAAGTTTATTTTTATGTATCTTTTTTGGGGACTTAGTTTATTTATTTTGAGTGTGCATATCTTTCTTCAATTCTGGAAAATCATCTATGAATAACTCTTCAATTATCACCTTTTTCCAATTATATCTAATCTCATCTTGTGGAGCTTCTATGAAATATATGTTGGATCTTCTCAATCCAACATCCATTTTTATAAGATTCCTTTTCATATATTTTTATATCATTAGGCTTTATTCTGGATGGTTTTCATATATAAGGTCAACAGTTATTTTTTTCTTCAACTGTATGTTAGTATATTTAACACAATTGAACTTTTAATGAATTTATTTCTAACTAGCAGCAGTTCTATTTGGTTCTTTTTCAAATATGTTTTATGGTAACTATAACTCCTATTAACTATTTTAATACATTTGTTAATTCTTTCCAAATTTCCCTATAGATCTGCATTGCTAAATTTCCTATTTCTTGTATCTGCTGACTCTTTCTCTCTCTCATGCTTTCCCCCCATGATAATCTATACTCATTTTATGGCTTTTTTTTTTAAGACCATCTTTAGTCAAGATAACTGATGATGATTTCTGAAGATGTCTGAGAAACCCTGAGTTGGAAAGCTATCTCTACAATATACACTGAGTTGCCGGATTATTATGACCACCTGACGTTTGTAGGTGAATTAGCCATACACTGCATGGAATATGGAAGCCGAAGCCCTATGGAATATGGAATATTCGAATACCTTTGCTGTCTGCAGTTACCAAGATAAAACGTCTCCAATTCACACAGGGACACAAGGATTGGACAGTTGAGCTTTGGAAAAAACTCATGTGGTCCAATGAATCACGTTTTCAATTACATCATGCAGATGGCAGAGTGAGAATGTCTCAGAAACAGCATGAAAGCATGCACCCCACATGCATGGGTATAACCCTTCAAGCTGGTGGGGGCAGTGTCATGGTTTGGGGCATATTTCCTGGGATGATTTGGGCCATTTAATTCATGTGGAACAATGTCTGAATAGCACAACATACCTAAGTATCGTTGCTGATCAAGTTCATCTTATCATGTTGATGGTGTACCCCAATGGAGATGGCTTCTTCCAACAAGACAACATGCCATGCCACAGTACTTGTATTGTGCAGGAGTGGTTTCAAGAACACGAGGGAGACTTTACCTTGCATAGGTGGTCCCCACAATCACCAGATCTCAATCCAATTGAGCATTTGTGGGACGAAGTTAAAAGAGCCATCAGGCAGCTGGTTCCACAACCATCAAATCTCACAGAACTGGACAGGGCTATTCATCAGGCATGGTGGCAGATTCCTTGCATGACCTTTCAACATCTTGTGGAGTCAATGCCAAGAAGAATCGCCGCAGGATTGAAGACAAAAGGTAGCCCAACAAAGTACTGATAGGGCAGTCATAATAATCTGGCCTCTCAGTGGATTTCAAATTCACCCTTGTTGAATTTTACTGGCTCTGGATCTGTTTCCATTTTATTTTATCACCCTGATATTTCTAAATACCAAGGGTGACCTATCACCCCATCTTAAATTACACAGGCTTAGGATCTATTACTTTCTTATGGATATCTATTTTACTTCCCAAGAGTGTAAGGTAAAGACAATAGATGGATTTATCTTTGTTCTGTTTCTTTTTTATGTACCACTTGGTCTTCTAGACTCCTGGATGTGAAATGGCAAACCCCCTCTCTGCTTGCATCCCCATAACTACACCTCCGCTTCTGTAATTTAGCTGGCTTCTTGGCGAATTGACAGTGGGAAGCAGGGGAGGTCTGCGCGCATGTGCTCAGCACTCTCTGCCTGCGGTCCAGGAACTTTCCCCAAGGCACAAATAAGGAACCCAGTCCTCTCTCTGTAGCCTAGGCAACAGGCCTTCAATGCAAACTGCAATGGGTGTGGAAGGCCCGGGAAATACATGGAAGCTTAGCACATATCTAGAAAGAATGTCTAGAATGTGTATATGTATCATAAATGGGAAATAAAAGAGCAAAGGGAGATATATAAGTCCAAACACGGTTTTGCTCAGAGCTCAGCCTCTGGAGAAGACCCCACTGAGCCAGCATCATTGCCAACAAACTGTCCTTTTCTGAACCTCCAAGTGCATTGGGTTTGTCCCTTCCCACCGGGGCCTGATTTCTGCCATCACAGATGTACACAAAGAATTCCTTTACGGGGCTTAGACTTGTTATGCAATGAAAGTTAAAATCTAAACTCCTGGCAGCCAGCACCTAGGTGCTGAGGTACTTCTGCTCCATCGAGCTTTAGCTCCTTTTCTGTGATCCTTTTGCCTGGAGCTGCCCTTCATTTCTGGTACTCGGAGGTTTACCTTCTCTTGTTTAGGTTGGTTAAATAGGCATATTATAACTGTTATATTTTAATAAGCATTGCTGCATTTAAATGGTTGGCTGAGCTCCCACATCAGCCAAGCCTTCACCTTTCGTGGCAAATAGTCAACGTGCAGGTGCATAATTATAAATACACTTAGCTAAAATATAATAAAGTTGTGTTCCTAAATATTTCTATTCTTTTAAAAATGGCAAATACTTGTCAGGGTTTATTATAAATGTGCCAATGCAGCTTTTCCACTCCGAGAGATGAAGCATACTGAACATTGAAAAGTTTTGTGGTTCTTACAATATTGCCAAGTATGCTGTGTGGGTGTGTGAATTGCCAAACATAATGATGAGGCAACTGTGGTCCTTGTGTGTTTTCTGCTTTTTGTGTCATGCCATTCTTCAGGACTGTCACTGCTCGCTGCCATACCTGGCAGCAGGCTGTCTTGGCGAAGGGCCCCTATCTCTAATTGCTGGAGTGTGCACTGAGGTTTGTGATTAGTCATTGCTGCAGAAAACTTCCCTTCAGGATGTACATGACCATGTTCTTACAGAAGGCAGCTAGTTAGATATTAATAAAAACAAAGGGATCCCGACATTTAAGTGGATTAACTAGGAAGGGGCAGCTTCACAGACACTTCATAAAAGACCCACACCTTCCCCCAAACACACTCCAATCCTTAAATAGGCAGGAAAGACCAGCTTTCCAATCTCCTCAGGGAACAATGGGCTCCTCCCTGAGCGTGAATGAGATGTTGCCTAAGCCCTTTCTTTGTTTTTGCTCCAATAACTCTTGCCACTACACCTCAAATCCTCCTATGCGTGTATCCATGAAATGCATTTTCTGTGACACTGTGGAAGAATCTTATTTCTCCTGGCAACATACTGGCTGCTTTCTCTTTCCTTCCCAAGAAGTGCAGAGAGAAAAGGCCTCCTTCAAGAAGAAGAGCTTAGCATGTTACCCTTAGCCTAATTTGAATTGAGTATGATAAACAAGAAGGGCTTCAAAAAAGTGTGACCCATCTTTGTCCATGGATGCCCTTCCTCCAACTTAATCTAGGACACTGACCTACAGTGGCTAAAATTCTCCTCATTTTTGAACCATGCCTTTTGCACCTTCGGCTCAAATTTGGCACCTCTAGGATACAAGAATACCAACTTGTCCAGCAGCGCCATCCCCTACACACCACACACATGCTGTTTTCCAAGGACAGTAATGGCTGGATACTATGAAGGGACAAGGAGGAGCTGTGGTTTGTGCTAAGAGAGCTAGGAACTCACCTCCCTTGTCCTCAGAAGTCTTTTCTTCATCCATCTGTCCTCCCTCTGCTGCTGCCTGTGTATACTCGCAGTCTCTTCATTTCATCCTCAACTCTGCTGCTTTGCTGCCTGCCCATTCCAGCTCCAGATCAGAAACCCCCCTCCTCTCTGCTCCCTCCCCACGGTCCCAAGGCCAGTCAGCATTCCCTTGGCTCTGGGGTTCACCTGCAGCCTGGGCCCTTATGCAATGGGGGCTGCTGCAAGTTCAGCATCCAGTGGAAGCACCTGGGGCC